CCCCAAAACAAAAAATATATACACTGCCACTAAGTCTGTTTGGTTCATAGCAACCACATACAGGTTTCTGAGGCTGTTAATCATTATGAAAGCAGACAGTCTCATCTTTCTCCCTCGGGGCTCCTGGTGGGTTAGAACCGATGGCCCTGAGGTTAGCAGCCCAATGTTTAACCCACAGGGCCACCAGGGCTCCTATTTGAGCTTCAAAATCACATGTTCAGTGAGAACAGTCAGACGCAAAGATGATGCATCTCTTGATTCTTTCGATAGGAACCATCCCAGGGAGGCATCCCTATAGAACAGAGATTCTGCATCTGCCTCTCAGAGCCTGGGGGGCACGGTCCCTCTCCGGAGTGGGGCGCCCTCGGCACTGTAGTGTGATGAGCAGCAGCCCCAGCCTCCACACACCCCATACGAGTAGCAGCCACCCCAGTTGTGACACCCACAAAGGTCCCCGGGCATTTCCCCCATCCAGTGTCCCCTGGGGGCCAGAGTCATGCCCTCTGCACCCCCAAGTGAAAACCACATCCTCTCCCCACGGAATGTACCAGCAGGGCTTTTTTTTTTTTTTTTTTGCCTGGAGAACTCATCCGTCTCACAAATCACCCCTTCGATGCGTTGGCTCAAACATTCCTTCTCAGAGACTCCCAACACCCCGCATGCTGGCAATCAGCGGTCGAAGGGAGTGTTTGGTTTTTTCTCCAGTCTGGGAGGTGGAATTGGTTTCACACGAGTGTTCAGATGAAGAGAGACTGGGAAGAAAGACCTGGCAAACAATTTCCCCCAAATCAAAATCAGCCAAGGAAACTAATCACGGGCATGGGCCAGTTTCATTCCCTTGTGCCTGGGGGTCACTGTGTGTGTGTGTGTATGTGTGTCTGACAGAGAGCGTGTGTGTACAAGATGAATGTGACGGTTGCTTGTGGTTTTCTCCACAGTGACCTTGTGCACGTGGATCCAAACCAGAGCAAACGCACTGCCAGCACGTCAATTCTGACTGCAAGCGACCTGACCCTATAGGACAGGGTAGAACTGACCCTGTGGGTTTCCAAGACGGTAGCTCTCCACGGGAGTAGAAAGCTCAGCTTCCTACCCCCACACTCCCTAATAGCTGGTGATTTAGGAAAAGAAAAAAAAAAGCAAACCGATTGGGTTCATCTTTTCCCGTAAGGCGGCCCCAAGTGTTACAAGTGCCCCATCTCCGTTTTCCCTCGAGAATCTTGCCCGAAGCAGTCAGGTCTTGCACAGCACCTACGGGAAGGTAGGTACCAACCGCCAGTCTTCCCATTGAACCGTTCAGGCTCCGGCCCCAAATTCAAACCACGGCCTCCGTGCTCTTCCACTCTCAGTGCTGTCGAAGTTTTCTGGGATGTACATCTGGAGGACAGCCTCGTCTTTCTCCAAAGGAGAGCCTCCTGGCTTCGAACAGCTGACCATCTGGTCGGCAACCCAACGCTTAAACCTGCTGAGACGCCAAGCTTCCTTTCTCTGTCTTGCTAAGACAAGACGGTCTATACAACAGGAAATTCCATGGGTGAAATGTGAGGGGATTTTTTTTTTCCCCCCCAAGCAAAATTTGTCAGGAGTTGGCATCCACTTCGTGGCCACGGGCTGGAAGTTCATGGGGTTTGACGGGAGTGACAAGAATGGGAACAGTGGCTGAGGTTTGGGGGTGGCGTGGGGCCGCTTGTCCTGCCCTGCAATCCGACACGTACCTGCAAGCCCCTCCCCCGCCCTTCAGTGCTCACTCCAGACCCCACCAGGCCACCTGATGGAGTCTCACCTGTCGTCCAAGGTCCACCTCCCACCAGGTGCGCGCCCCTCGGCACGTGGATGGCCCACCCTCTTCCCGAGTCTCCCTGTGTAAATGGGGTCTTCAACCTATTGCCAAACCT